ATATATATATATGCAGCAAATCTGTTGTTTTGACTCAGAATATGATCATTTTAAAGGAACAATAAAACACTTTACTACATCACATTTGGCAACCCTGCCTAGTACATTACTGCAGTGGTTCCATGTAAACGGGTGATGCTTTTGTGTATTCACCCCAGTAAACATTAGCTTTTTTTAGAGACCAGTCTCCTGTAAACAGGACCCAAGTAACTTTGGTTCAAGCACACGGTCCTGAGGAACTCCACATGTAATATTACAGACTTCAGATCTTACATCATTTATTTACTGTTTCCTGCTTTCCAGATAACTAGATAACCACTGAAGTGCTGGACCTCTTAYACCATATTTAWTCAGCTKTTAATAAAGAATAATGTGGTCAGTAGTGTTAATATATGTCTATAWCTTTACCCAAACAAAAAAAKGKATTATCATCTACAAATACATTTAAAAAAYCCTGACACATTTACCAAGTCATTTACGTATAAAATAAATAAATTTGGACCAAGTACAGAACCCTGAGGAACTCCGCATGTGATATTAAAGGGTTCAGATCTTACATTATTTACCTGAACAAACTGAAAATGTTGTTGAAAAAAATAAAATAAAAGTAGCTTGGGTCCTACATTCTAATGCTTTTTTTTGGAAATCAGTCACAAAAGAATTTAACCTGTCAGACTTTGAGCTATATAAGTGAAGCGCTGTTTTCAAACCAAGTCATGTTTTATATTGTGCGCTAAGATTGTAGCTGCAGATCTTCTATGTTGCATATTTTAAACAGATCAACAGAAACTAAGTCGTGCCATTGTTGTTTTTAAAATGCCACCATTGCTGCTGTTTGATTCAAGTTCTGTCAATGATTTAAAATGATTTGGATCTTCTATGTTTTTGTAGAATTTTTGCTGACCACGGCCTTGGTTGGGACGAGGTAACACAGGGACCCATGCAAAAACACTGGCACCCATGGCATTCATGGAAAAAGTATGAAGAAGCTGAAGGAAACACTGCTCCTCTCTCACATCCGCCGTTTTAGAGGCACGAAGGATGAAGGAGAGACGGACACGTAAAGGTCTCTGAACTCAGACGGCTTTAGTTCCTGTTTTATATTTTATGCAAACGTCAGAGATYCCAGGGAAACGACCATCTGAACCATCCTGACCGCAAACACACAGCTTTTAGAATCATCACAAAAAGAAGGATGTCCTTTCTGATTCAGGGTCTGTGGGACACATTTCAGTCGTACGGTTATTCAGAACATGTTTTACAGTATTTATCTGTTCGTTGTTGTTTGGTAACTTACATGTGGTGCTAAACCAGTCGAGTCAAAGCTACTCCAAAAACAGAACCGTAATTACCAAAAAATAAATCAAATTTTCCTTGTAAATTATGCAGAACAGTRGCTTTTGAAGAACATTTGGTCGGTATCTTATTTCCAGCAGGTAACGGTTTCTTTTATTGGAAACAAACAAAACATTTATCATTTCAGCAAGTTTTACAATCAGACACTGCACTGCCAACTRGCACTTAATACAGTTAAATGTTTTTGCAAAGCAGAAACTTTTGAATGTGGGATAAGACATCTTTATAGAACTTAATTTGCTTTAGCGTACATTTCTGCTCCTTGCAGCAGTAAAACCAGCACTTAGACTGTTTATAAAAACTGGAATCAGTTAAAGATGTATAGCTTTGGCTTCAAGTGTTCCCAGTTTGCACATTTGCTGTCAAAAGTGACAAAGTGTCTACAAGAAGAGGAAGCTGGAAATCTTTAAAGGGGTGGGGGGTTATTATGCAAAAATCAACCCTTTTGAGCTTTATGTCATGTTATAATGTTCCCTCGTCAAAAACATACCCAGAATGCTGATTTGATGGAGAAATTCTTGAATCTCCTGTGGCCATGTGGAGCTGCATAAACACCTGCTGGTACAAAGCACCGCCTCTTTCTACAAAGCTCCGCCCATTTGTACCTAGCTTCTCCCTGGAGCTTGTTCTGCAGCCAAGCTCCCACCCCACAGAGCACCCCCTTCCCCCGAAGCATTGTCGTGAAGACGTGTTGAAATGGGAGTGTCTGAAACGGTAGGAGGTTCTTGAAGAGACGGAGACAAATATCATGAATTTATTTTTGATATATACAGCTTTTTATAACAACTGAAAGTAACATGGTAGGGTTGGGCCGAATTGGCAAAACAAATACCGTATTTTTCGGACTATAAGCCGCGACTTTTTTTCCTGAACTTTGAACCATGCA